TCAACAATACAGTAATAATCATCAGCAAGCATAAATTAAGTCTATGGGGTAATGAAGAAAAAAAGGCCAAGGGTATGGAGAATCTCCAGGCAGGTCCTGGAGAGTGATTTTAAACAGGAACCTTAGGGTCAGCTCTGCTGAGAGCGTGACATTTGAGAAAAGACTAGAAGGAGGCAAGAGTTCATCATGGAAACACGTGCAGGAACCACTCCACACAGACGCAACAGTCAACACAAATCCATCAAGCAGAGACCTGCTGGTGTAAATGGAGATACACAGACAGCTGGGAATTCAGGCCTAGAGTCCAGGTTAAAAAAAAAAAAAGAAATTCAGACTAAATAAGTAGAGTTACAGGAGATCAGCTTCACTGGTCATCAGGGAAATGCAAATTAAAGCCACAGTTTGGGACTTCACTCATGGTCCAGTGGCTAAGACTCCAAGCTCCCAATGCAGGGGGCCTGGGTTTGATCCCTGGTCTTATTTTAGATCCTGCATGCAACTAAGAAGTCTGCACGCCACAATGAAGATCCTGCAAGTTGAAACTCAGAACTAGCACAGCCTAAATAAATAAATATTAAAAAACAAAATACAGTATGTTTGCGTAGGTGCCTGCTCAGCTGTGTCCGACTCTTTGCAACCCCATGGACTATAGCCCACCAGGCTCCTCTGTCCATAGAGATGCTCCAGGCAAGAATACCAGAGTGGGTTGCCATTTCCTTCTCCAAGGGATCTTCCCAACCCAGGGATTGAACCCACATCTCCTGCATTAGCAGGCAGATTCTTTACCAACTGAGCCACCAAGGAATCCCAAAACACAGTATGATGCCTCTACAAAAGATAGATGTCACTAACACATGGATGTGAACCATCTAAAACGCTCATGCTTTGCTGGAGGTTGGTAAACTGGTACAACCACTTTGCAGAGTTCTTGGGCAACATCTACTGAAGCTGAACACAGGCCACCTGATGACCCAGCAATTCCTTTCCAAGGTATATACCCAAGAGAGATGCACCCATTTGTTCACCAGGGGACATGCATGTGAATGGTCATGGTGGCACTCTTTAGAACAATCAAAACCTGGAACTTAACCCAAATGGCCATCCACAGTAGAAAGGATAGTCACACAGTGGAGGACCCACAGCGGTGAGAATGAATGAACTACTGCTAAACACCAGAAAGGAACAATCTGAAACATACTATTGAAGCTAGACATACAGTGAATGAGTCCATGTATATGAAGTTCAAGAACAGGCAGAATCATCTATAGTGATGGACTATGGGATGGTGGTGACCAATGTTGGGGGGATTAGGGACCAGGAGAGCTAGAGAGGAACTTCTGAGGGAGTGTCTGTTCTGCCCTTGACTCAGGTGTTGGCTCCTATTCAGTTTGTGAAGAATGTACAAATTAGATTATGTTTTGTCCATTTTTCCTTAGATATGTTAAACTTTTAAGAGTTTTTTTTTTTTTTTT